AAATGTCACCTTATTGAAACTACTACCAGAACTATACTTCATACAACTCATTTGCCCTGTCAATTCTGGATTGAGGCACTCGTTACAGCAAATTACATAGTTAACTACATGCCCCACAAGAAATCTTTCATGAAATCACCTTATGAAGTGCTTTACAAGCAACCGCCAACATACAACCATATGAGAATATTTGAGTGTAGCTATTTTCCATGAAAGAAATCCATCACTCCAAATAAACTTCTACCACCTGCTCCACATTGTATACCAATATAGGGGTGTGCATTATACAGTCAAAACCGAAAAACTAAATCGAACCAATAACATTTGATTGGTTCGGTTCATTTTCGAAATTGAGTTTCGGTTTTTTGTTTTTAAAATTTTAATATTTAATTTTCGGTTTTTTGGTTTAGTTTTAATTTTCATTTAACCGAACAAACCAAAAAATCAAAATTTTATTTAAAATTTTTATTTTATTTTAATTTCATGTAGAATAAACTAAAAAAGTCAAACTTTTTATGATAAGTAATTTTTTATTGACATAAATAGAGGATTCTAAAAATTAAATTGATTTTAAGTGGATGAGATATGTAATTCATAATGCTTGTTTTTAGTGAAACTTTAATAAACAATTGAATTTTAGTTTTGTTCATAACCGAATCGTTTAAACTGAATTAAAATTTAGTTCAGTCGGTTCAGTTTTATCAAAATTTAGATTGATTCGTTTTTTTGGATTTTAGATTTCGGTTGTAATCAGTTTGATCAATTTTAAAACCGATCCATCCGGAACGACCAAATGCTCGCCCTTGTATCCATGGGATACTCATATCTCCACAAAGGCTAGACCATACAGTAAATTTCATAGTTGATTGGATGCCCCACAAAAAATCCCTCAAGAAATCACCTTATGAAATGCTTTACAAACAACCACCAACATAAAATCACATGAAAGTCTTCGGGTGTAGCTACTTTCCATGGAAGAAACCCATCACTCCAAACAAACTGCTACCAGCTGCTCCACATTGTATATTCATGGGCTACTCATCTCTCCACATAGGCTACAAATGCTACAGCCTTTCAACAGTGAATATAATTGTCTCGACGCATGTTATCCTTAATAAATCATCCTTTCGTTGTTTCAAAAAAACAGTCTCCCAGCCTCAATCTCTCACTCTTTACTGCCCACCATTAATTCTTATACCACCCACCTTTTTCTCTACTCAAATACAACCCAAAACCTCTAATCTCATATCAGCCTCACGTTTCAAACTCACAACATCCACATAATTCCCCCTCAACACCATTCACATCCCTGCCCTCATCCTTGCCACCAGCCATTACACAACCTCCACCTGAACATCATATGATTACAAGGTCTCAACCTTGTTCTTTAAAACCCAAACAACCACTTAATCTTCACACTATAACCACCAACACCACTTTAGATCCCACTTGCCACACACGGGCTATTCATCATCAACGCTGGATACAAGCCTTGTGAATTCAATTTTAAACCCTCCAGCAACAAAGAACATTGATTCCTGTACCCCCCAATCAGCACATGCCATCAGCTGCCGTTGGACTTCTCACACTAAATACAATCAAGATAAATTGGTGACTGGATACAAGGCTGGGTTAGAGGCTCAAGGGTGGTTCAAGCAAGAAAATGGCATCCACTATAAAGAGGCATTAAGCCTGGTTTCAAAACTTCCTACAATAAGAATTGTACTATCTGTTGCTCTCCAAAACAAGTGATCTGTTCGGGATCAAAACATCACAAATGCTTTCTTACACGGTCCGCTAGAAGACAACATATTTATGACTCAAACTCAAGGATTCCAAGATGTTGAATTTCCTCACCATGCATGGCCTCTCAATAGGTAATTTATAGCGTAATACAGGCTCCTAAACAGTATTACTCCACTTTCTCATCTCAGCTCAAGAACAAAGGCTTCAAAATAAGCACAGCCGACCCTTTCCATGTTATCTACAAACAAAGTAGCATCCATATATACCTCCGATCTAAGTAGATGACATTCTACTCACTAGAAAAGACACAACCATAATCTCAACCATATTGACTGATCTCAATTCTACATTCCAGCTCAAGGAACTTAGCTCGGTTAATACATTCCTAGGCATTAACATCACCGACAGCAACACAGAATACTTCCCTTCTCAATTTGAATACATAAAAAAATCTACTACAACTAGCTGGTATGCAACACTGCAAACCAGCGCTAACCCGTCTTCCCTCCAAACTCAAATCAGATAACTCCAAGTAGTAGAAATATCTCAATCTGATTCTACACCATCAATTAGCGGGCTCACTTCAATTCCACACCATGACTAAACCTGACATTGCTTTTTTGGTCAATCACATTTGTCAACATATGCACAAGTCTCTACATGTCACTATCAGCTACTGATTCTCATGGTCAACGTTCAATAATAGGACATTGTACTTTTCTCTGAAACAATCTGATCTCCTGTACAACACAAAAACAGAAGACATTGGCTAGATCATCTACTAAAGTGGCACTTGCGGCCTCCACAACCAAAGTGATATGGATAAAAAGATTACTGCAGGAATTTAATATCCCCGTGTAGATCCAACACCCATTCACTGTGATAACACATCTGCATTTGTTATTGCTATTAATCCAATATTTCACGCTAGGACCAAAAATGTTGAATTCGATCACCATTTCGTGCAAGATCATTTAAGTTCCAATGAAATTACAATCACTCGCATCTTCTCTAAAGAAAAACCAGCTGACATTCTAAGAACATGTCTTTCGGCATCTCAGTTTCTCAAAATCAAAACCAAATTCACGGTTGATACTCCAAACCGTTCACTTGCAGGGAGGTAAAAACCACCCAGAACCCACTGCAGCCAACAACCATACATGTTGCACACTCCGCCCCTCCGACATATAACCAATTCTCTATTCCCTTCAATTACTTCAAAACTCCATAACCTTCTCAACCGTGTATTCAATTGTCTATATAAACAAAGTATTGTAGCACAAAATTGGTGTGTCTGAAAAACATTACCAATTAATGTAATCTGTTTTTTCAATACAGTAGATATTATTACTGTTGCAGTCCAATTTTTGCTTTCTTCGCTTTTCAGGTTTATCGATATTTACATATCTAACAGCTAAACTTTACTTTTTATATTTATGTCACTAAATCTTTCATATCACATAAAAAAATACCACAATTTTAACTTTTAAAAAGTAAAATACACATTTCATGCATATGAAATGTAAAATATAGGGTAAAAATTGATGTTTTGGAGTTAAATATGTAAATACATGGGAATTGAGTGATATGAATGTGAATCTTCCTTTTTTTCTCTCAATCAAACCATAGTAAAATTTGCAAATGGCGGCCCTTGCTTGCAATGCTTGGAAGCATTTTTAAGAAAAACAATTATAAAAGCAATGCCTATGATCATAGAGAAAAGTTGTGGTAGAATCAAAGCCCATTTCTTTGGTGCGCCATAGTGAGAAAACCAGATACTTACACACTAGCCTTTCATCTTCAATTTAAAAACTAAATTTTCATTACTAACTTCAACATTAATGAGGACATTTAATGTTCAACAAAAATATTTACGTAAATAAAACAATGACAAACTAACATGGAAACCTTTAAATTTAGAGTAAAGTAATGGCAAAATAATGAAAATTTATAAGCCAACAGCAAATTAAGTTATTGCTTAAAATGATGTTAACTAGGGTGGAAGCATTTCCCCATGATTTTCTCACAGTGGAATCTTTATCATTGCCATTTCCAACAAAGAACTCATTTCTTTCTCCATAATACGTCGAGCTGAACCGAAACAACCGCAACTTGATCTCGACGCAACAATGGAAGTATTAAAATGACAACATTAGTGATGTAGCGCACAATTTTTTATGTATATACATATCTCACACCAAAACATTCATATTTACATACATAGCACTTTGGTATTTTAAACCTATGCATGAAAACATGTATTTCACTTGTAAAAAGTGGTAATAGTGCTAATTTTGATTGGATATAACAGATTTGAGTGATATGTGTGTAAATATGATAGTTTAGGTGTGAGATATGTAAATACATAAGAATTTTGTGCTGCCTATGTAAATGACCATTACTTTAATGCCCGTGTAAAATACCTTCAATCTTGAGCAAATCCATAAAATACAAGTTGATTCCCTTAAATGACTGTAGCAAGGATAAAAGACTCATCAAATCACATTATTATTATTATTATTACTATTATTATTATTTTTACTACTACTAATACTATTATTATTATAGTTTTGAAGGGAAAATCATATAAATAATTCTTCTCACAATACTATAAAGAAACAAAAGACGTCTGTCAAACTAACACATATGTTGAGGCATAAAAGCTCTAAACTTTGGACTATTTTCTAAACACGCATCAGTGCTTCATTTCACGTAGCTTAATAAGGTATAGAATATTAAGCTGTGGAGTATAATTAATGCTGCATAAAAAAAAAGGAAATTTACATACATAGCACAAAATTCTCATGTTTTTACATTTCTCGCACCCAAACTTTCATATTTGCAAGCATAGCTATCATTATCATCAAAGTGAAAACTTAAAAATTTCAACGGCGTAAATAACACTACTCTGTATAAAAATTCAGAGTTTTTCACACATTTCAAAATGTTCATTTATTTGATCTTTGTGATCTGAAATAGAACTAAAACGAATTCCCAAATAGGAAAAACGTCAGCTCACAAAGAAACCATGAATTTGTTTTAGTTCTATTTCAGAAACGTTTTTCCTGCTAACTAAACTCCCCCGATTGGGAATTCAGAAATGCATGAGAAATGTTTTTTCCTGCTATTTACTATTAAAAAATTGATTGACAATGTGCTGAAATAGAACTAAAGGATTCACACATAAGAAACCATGAGATAAATCGAAGAAAGAATTCGCAAATATAAATAAAAAGGATGTTAAAAGCACATACCTTTCGGAATTGAAAAGAAGAAGAGATATCCCCTCGATTCCTACAGCTGCCCAAATCAACACTGTTGAAGAGAAATGAGATAGCGTGAGAGACCGATGAAAGGAGAGATGAGGAGAGAAAGGGAGAAGAAGAAGAAAATAGAACCTGAAAAGGAAAGCTGAGATTTTTGGGTGATACTGTGAGAAAGAGAGGATTTTGCGAGGATGCCTACGGAGAAGCAACCGTACATTACCTTGAGCTGTCGGGTTACCGCACCATTCTTATTTATTTACAAATTAACATCTAAATATTCATATTTACCCAAAAAATATCATTCTTTTGAGGTTAAAAGTTAAACAAAAAACATATATTTATAGATAAATTTATGACATTTATGTTATGAGTACAAATATTAAATTTTGAGTGTTAGACATAAAAATATATAGACTATTATGGGATATTTGTAAATTTCTCAATATCAATCCGTAAAATTGCATAAATATTCTCCCCTCATTCATCTTATATGTCTAAAGGCTCTACAACCAATAAGAAATTAAACTCTCTATACAATTATCTTATATGTCTCTGAAGAAGATGATCCACAAAGATATTCAACACAGATAGATTTGAAAATGTACATTAGTTGTCAAACATTTTCGTGGAAAACCTAAAAAGGGCAAAAATTATATGACTTGATCCATAAAAAACAACACACTATGTTAATTGCGATGTTTATTCAAAGACAACAATTGCTATCAAAAAGTTATGGTTGGATGACAACTGTTGGGCAATAGTAATCAAGTCATAATAGTCGAATGATAGAATTAGCATAATTGTTGGCAATGGCTTCTTTTACCATTATGTAGAGTTCCGAAGTTATTCAAATCTTTAAGTTTTTGTTCTTCAACTTTAAGTATAACCTCTCACATGTAGAGAACTGGGATGTATTTATAATTCTTTATAATAACTTTTAAGTAAATTTAGATTCCAAAATATCCATCGAATGATTCATCTTGATTTATTTAATCTTAAATTACTTTTCAATATTTATTTGACTACCTCAAATTTGAGTATTTTTTGATTTGTTTGATTTCTCTCATTAAAACACTCAATTTGATTATGATTATAAATAGAAAGATTTTAAAAATTTTGACAATTCATTTAATTTTTCAAAAATTTTAATCATATTTGATGAGCTTAATTAGTACTCATTTGGATTTGGATTGGACTACTGTAAATATCATTGGAATCACCTCATAAGTACATACATTTTGATTATAATTTTCTTTTTTCAAACACATGATGTTTAATGCAAGTCCATTAGTGATTTCACCATGTATCTGTGTGTGTGTCTATATATAACACACACACACAAATTAGATCTACCGGCACAAATCTCAAAGAGAACGAACGGCTAAAATAAAAAAGTTTCTCCCAAGGGTAAAAAATCGACTGACAAGTCGCCTCCAAGCAAGTGAAGCCACGTTTCTAAACCCGTAATAGGTCAAAGCTCTTGAGAGGGTCCCTCGCCCGATAGCGACAAGTTCCAGCAAGGGCGAGGCGTAATTCATTTTAACAGCAAGCCAATTGGATATCTCACATAAGCAACTATAAGATCCGCTAAAGACATTGCAAATAGGAATATTCAGCTGAGGACAAGACATATGCCCCGTAAGATTTGAGCCAAAGCAATAAGTGATTCACGACTGAGGCGATGAACGTATCAGGTAGACAAGACATATGCCCCATAAGATTTGAGCCAAAGCAATAAGTGATTCACGACTCACCCGACAAAAAAAAATCGGCTCATCTGTCGACCAACCGATCGATCAAAATGCAGACAAAAAGCCCCCTGATCGAGATTGGACGGTTGCTCTGTTCTTGCCATGGCGAACGAGATCGTCATCTGACTAAACACAAGTCACGGTCGTCACCCAGTTGATAGTCTCAGTCAGCCGCATTCTAGCAAATCGATCAACCAATTACCGTTATATCAAAATTTCAATTATAATACAGATATAAAATGAAATTCATATAATTTATTACAATATCAATATAAAACTCCCCGTGTCAAAAAAAGATTTAACAAAAAGTAGATATTAACATAATTAAAAAAAAGAAAAAATAACAAAAAGTAGATATTAACATAATTAAAAAAAAGTTTAAATTAAGAAAATTAACAAAATAATAAATATTTTTACAAAATTATGGTTACCCTTGATTCCCACGCACAGCTGGCTCCTCCCTCAAAAGAAGAAGTTTCGATTAGAGTAATTGCCTTTGACTAGACTTTGGCACTCCCCATGCTACAAAAACACACACACTCTTATTTAATAAGCTGGCTCCAAGTCCAATTTGGAAGCCACGTGCTCAACAAAATTTTAATTTACGCACACGTCTATTAACTCTTAGTATTTACATAAATACCACCTAAACTAATTTTTTTTAAAATTGAAGTAATTAGTTCATGACACCAGAGCGGCATAAATGTAAATATTAAAATTTATGTGTTAGATACATAAATAAAAAATAATTATGCTATTTATGTAAACTTATCTTTAATTTAATATAAATTTAAGCGCAAAAATTACTAAACTTATCAATATTTATAAGACAAATATATAATTATAAATTCATATCATTTCATATTGAAAATTTTATTACAATAGGTTAAATTTTTTTCATTTATTTACCAACAAATTTCAAAGTTTTGAGAGATATATTAAATCAAATATTTATTTTAATTTATTAATTTATTTTGGTAAATTTACATATCTACCATTTCAAATTTGATATTCATATTTTGAGCACATGAATATCAACAGTATATACTTTTAAGAAGCTGGTGATGGCATATATAAGGGATATATATATATGCAAATATGAATGTTTGGGTGTTGAGCATATAAATACACAAGAATACGTGGTGCGTATGTAAATTTCCGATTTATTTTTGTTACAGCAATTGAAAAGGTGGCCGAATGTACTGCATACCACCTTATTAAATATATAAAGATTGCAATTTACGATTTATTTGTCACAAAATTTGGGAGACAAATGGAAGAAATGTAACTACTTTTTAATTGCTATTCCTCACGATAAAATTAAATATTCATAAAAATGCAATTCTTACTTTATTGGTTGTCAAGACAATTTAAGTCATGCGTATTTAAAGTATCAATCAAACTTCTACCTACTACTATGTCTTGTTGAGTCATCGCCCCCTTTTTATTTTTTGTTTATTTTTATTTATTTATTTATTTATTTATTTATTTATTTATTTATTTATTTATTTATTTATTTATTTATTTATTTATTTATTTATTTATTTATTTATTTATTTATTTATTTATTTATTTATTTATTTATTTTGTTTTACAAATGGTGAAAAATGTTAGTTAAGAGGGCATATTAATGATAAATTATTATAGAGTGTTGATGGACCGACATGGTTGCTCGGCCACATACAAGAGCTTAATAAGCCCCCACAAATTCATAGAAAAATCATATAAAATTTATTTGGAGATACTATGTTAAAAAATGAATATCTTGGATCATGTTGAAGGCTGTTAATGACTCAATTTCAGGCTGACCTGGAGTTGTTGAGAAATAGCTTGAATGCATTGAATGTGGCTTGAATTAACTCAGGAAAACTGCAAATTAGCGTAACAAATAATTTCTACCCAAAATTAGGGTATGATTTGCATTTGTTTAGTGTCGAGCGCAGTTTCAAACTTAAATGAGTCTGTTTTCTCGGTTGTTTTTGGAGCACTTGGAGTCGCCGGCTTGACTATTTATATGTCGTTGTATAATTCTCTTATTTGAATAAATCTTCCTCCTGAATTATATAAATGATTCAAAGAGACGATAAATCTAAAAGAAGTATATACGACAACAATTTGACTAAAAAATTAAAAAGAAACAAGTGGAAGGCTTATATATATGTAAACCTTGTGTGATGAGTCTATAATATACATCCGAATAGAATCAAATCGAAGTACCACAAAACACAACATCCACGAAGAGAATCCTTAGATAAGCTACCCGTAACCGGAGAGCCAAAAAAAACATTTTTGTTATGGGATCAAGATTCTCCTAGAGGAATGCATCCCTCTAGTTAATTACATTTTGGGGGAGACCCAAAATTACTCTTGATAAATAGAGTTTCATTTATATTATCATTAACCTGGAGAATAAATCATCAAAGGGTTGTTATTCCATATGGGAATGCCCTGATGCTTCAAAGCTTTTGCTAAGCTAGAAGACAGAAAATGAGTCTCTCACATCCCAAATGGGTAGCGGCTCGTCGGCATCAGAACCAACAAAATAACCAAAATCATCTCGACAAGGATATCCATATACACAAAGCTCATCGAACCATAACGATAAAGGGTGAAGCACTGTATCCCAAACATGTGGTTGTTCATCGGTAATCAAGTCATCAAGATGATATTAAAGAAGTCAAAGGAGCGACAAGGCTCAAAGGTGCTCAGTAAGAGAAAGAGTAGAGTAATCCTCAAAGGTAAATGTAGCTGGGTTGGGGTACCACAGACTCCTCATCCTAAACCATTAAGATCCTAAGTCTACTTGGTCGTGCAGGTAGTCGACTCAACACGTCTAGAGATCTTAGGTCAGCAATCTGTGAATTACGTCGTCCACAGGGAACCTCGGTAGCCATAAGGTCAAAAGAATAAAAATCTAGTCCTACGATCACAAGGTAGAGCTCAAGTGGTGAGACTCACACTCGCTAGATAGATGACAGTTGCCTCATGAAAGAAAGAAAAGAAAATGTCCAACTGCAAAGCTATAAACACTCTCCAAAAAGGACACAAAAACACACACACTCTTA